GTGGCTAGGAACGAGTCAGATTAGCTTGCTGATCCAGTTTAAACCCTCTCCTTCTCAGGGCAGGATTTTCCTTTATACCAACTTTGGTACTTACTTGAGCCTGGGTCAAGTCATTGCAGGCACCTAAATCAACAGAAAATTAGCACTACAAAAGAAGTTATTCTTCTGCTATCTCAAACTGGGTAAACAAGAACAGACAGGCATTAATGCCACAGCAAAGAGGGAACACGGAGCTGGAGGAGAGGGAAGGAGCCTAGCAGTCATGCTCTAAATCAAACCTCCACTCGGCTATAGGAGAACCAAGATCAGCAGATCAACACGCAAAACACCTTGTGACTTGGTCGTCACCAGTACACTGTGGGATCAGAGAAGAGCTGTGGTCTAGAGGATTAACCTTCTGCTCTCACTATTAACAATCTCACTACTTACCTTTTCTGGAGCTGACCTTCGGTGGTTTCAAGTGCTACAGCCTAAATATCTTTAAACTTTGGGTGTAGGCTATTAAACATTCCTATAAATACAAAGGAGATTAATTTATGTCCTTCACATTGTTGTCCCAAACAGGGTTCATTTACCCGGTGTGCAATGAGCCAACCTTCACATACTGAGAAGAGAGATTTTTCATTTACAAAGTCATGCAATTTTGGGTGCTAGGTGGTTTGCCACAAAGCTAGCACACCTAGCAAGGCTTACTCTTCACTTTTATATATTACAATTAACATATCACACCCATCTACTTCATAATCATTACATTAGCTAAGCACACTTATCTCTCATTGGTTCATGACTTCTTCCCTTCAATTTAAAGGTGCAAGCTGATTTTAACTTACTACGCATGCTCAAGGGGGGGTGGTAGGGGGTGGTGGGTGTAGTTTCTTCCAGTTTCTATTTGAGTCGGTGGTCACGCTCTCCCCCTGACAGAATAACCGTTCCCCTAATTTCCTCCTTGGCAGATCTTAAAGTAACTTCACGATTCGCTAATCAAGACAATAATACATCACCTTGTCTCCTGTTCCTGAACAATTTAACTACACCAATTACTTTAGCAATCTATTAACTAAACAAAAGCATAGATAGGGTAGGGCTTTACCATGGACATTCTACTGTAGCATTAGTTTCTAATAACATCTCAATGCCACATTTGTAAAATGATACCCCTACTTCCTTAGGAGGCAGCCAGAAGGCATGTTATTAGGATAAATATATTATTAGGTACTTGTTAGACATCAAGATACTGTAACAGTAGGCATTACATGAACCGAAGCCCTTTACCCTAAGGAGAGACTTTCCACTACATTAACTAAATCTTGAGACAAAGGAAATAGTTTTATTATCTAAAGAAGTTTGCAAAACATTAACTTTTTCTTTTCCTCTTAGTAGGCCCATTAACACCAAGGGGAAAAACAACCATCACACCTAATGGTGGCAGACAACAGGGAGACAAATGTGGCAGCACAGAACTAAATGAAATGGAAGCAGTTGAAATTTCTTGAGGGTAAAGACCTGGCTTTCTCTTAAATGGATCCTTGGTATATCCAGTTATTTCTAAAAAGGTAATGGTGAGTGGATTATAAATGCCCATTTGCCATCAACCTCTTGTACATACTTCCATGCCCCACTTGTATGAAATATCACTGCATGTTGCAGGAGACCGAGAGGCTCCGGTTCGTAAATCTATCCTCTGCTTTCTAACGAAACAAAGGCAGTAATATTTATGAGGACCTGAAAGCTGAAGCGACAATCACAAAGTAGACAAACAGCTTTATTTTTCCCCCAAAAACCTATGGGACTTTCAATACACAGTCTGACTGCACAGGCTACAAGCTGAAGTTTAAACCTTTGTTACAGGTGAAAAGTAAAACTACATCAAAATGGGTTCAGCACTAATTCAGGAGCAACACTTAAACAGGCACTCCTAAAGCTACTGTTACCTACGACACAAATACCCTTCCAAGATACTAAAATC